AAAAAAAAAAGTTAGAAATTTAAGCGAACTGAGCGTTACTCTAATAGTAGTTTTTAACTTTCTATGTTTAAAATTGTAGGCTTTTTCTTTTCAAATTTAATAGTTCCAGGATAGAAATTATTATCCATTACTTTTTTTTTTTTAAATTGTGGTAAATATATATAACAAATCATTTACCTTTTCAACATTCCTCACATGCACAATTCAGTGACATTAGTTATGTTTATCCATTATTTTTAAAAGTAAAATCTAACATTCTATCAAAACTGTAGTTAGAAAAAAATGTATGGAATAAAGAGATCATTTAAATGCACGTTCTACCAGTTGTGAGTGATCCAGCATGTTATTGATGGATAATGGGCTTTTGAGTCAGACCTAAACTCAGGTTAGAATCTCACTTCTATAACTTACTAGCTATGATCCTGTAGGAACAGGATTTTGTCCATTTGTTTAGCCCGGAAGCATGAACAGTGTCTGCTATATTAATGGCGCTAAAAGAAGAGTTGTTGAATGAAGGCACAAGAGCAACCATTGAGACAAATATTAATGTACAGAACGTGGCAAAAATATATGACTACAGGAGAGTAGCACAACCCAGTAGCGCATAAGGTACTCAAAGCAAAGGAAATGCTCCATTCCATTGGAGTCAGTCATTCCAGGCAGTTGTTAATGAGTATATATATGAAGAATGATAAATTGTTGACTTCGTTACATTAAAAACAAATTTGTTTATCTTCATCAGATTGGCAAAGATTTAAAAGAATGATGGCAAGGATGTGGGGAAACTCATACACTTTCGGTGAGTATAATTTAGGTTATGCATTTTTGGAAGACAATTTGGTATAATATTTACTTAATTTAAAAATGTATATATAAGTTGACCCAACCATTCCATTTCTATTATTCTACAAGTGCACAAAGACATACATACAAGAATGTTCACTGCTGCATTGTTGGTAACTGAAAAACTATTAGTATCACCTAAATGTCCATTAATACAGGAATGGTTAAGACTATCATGGTAACCTACACTTTGGAACACCACATGACAGTTAAAAAAAAAAACATGGCTGTGAGTACTACCTTGGAGAGATGTCCAAGACAGACAATTAGTGAAAATGTAGTACAAAAAGTATAGTGCGATTTCGTTTCTAATTAAACCAACCAACAGATCAACAAACAAAATAAAAACAGAAAAAACCTACTATACCCTTACCAAAATGAAATTTTGAGAAGTTGGATTTTCATTTTCTACTTTATACGTTTCTGTATTGTCTAAATATTTTGTTTTACAATAAGTAGCATTTTTTATATAATTTAAAAATAAGTTAAAATATTTTAGTACCAGATTATCCTAAAACCTCCTCTGAGATTTTCGGTTATTTAAAAACAAAAAAAAGTTTTCCCTCCTGTTTTATGTGATTTCACACCTCAGGCAGGATATATTCTTACTCTTATACACATACTAATAAAATCACCCCAAGCACTCCAACTACCAGCATCAGAGAAAATTAAAATAGTCACAACAAGCCAATCTTACACAAATTATTCCGGAAAACAGTAAAGAAATGTGCTACAACTTGTTTTTATGAGGCCAGAAAAACCCGATATCAAAACCTGACAAGGACATTAGCACAAGAAAAATTCTAGGCCAATCTTACTCAAGAATATAGACACAAAAATCCTAAGCAAAACGTGAGCAAGCCAAATCCAGCAATACGTACAGAGGATAACTCAAGGAATTCAAGGTTCGTTTAACATTAAAAAAAAAAAAAAAGTAATTCACCATGTTAACAAAGGGAAAAAGCATATAATTATCTAATTATATCATTATATGAAGAAAAAACATTTCCTAAATAAAATTCAACATCTGCTCAAAACAAAAATTCTTGGCAAACAAGAAAGTGAAAGGAATTTCCTTAATCTGATAAAGTATATCTACAAAATGCCTACAGCAAACACTGTACACTTAACAGTGAAATGTTAAAAGCACTGCCTATGAGATTGGGAGCAAGACAAAGCTCTCCGCTATCTCTACTATTATACAACATTGTACTGGGAGTGCTTGCCAGTGCAATAAAGCAAGAAAAAGAAATAATAGAAAGATCAAGAAAGGAAAAAAAAGCCAAAAACTTTCATTAAAATGATATGATTATTCATGTAGAAAGTCCAAAAGAATATTTAGAACTATTATTAGAATTAAAATGTGAGTTGAGCAAGTCTGTTGCATACAAAGTCAATAAACAAAAAATCAGTTGTACCTCTATTTATCAGCAACCCTTGGGAAATGAAGTTTTTAAAACATATGCCATAACAAATAGCATATTTTTACCAGATATTATTTATGTTTTTATTAGATATTTTATATATCTAAGAATAAATCTAATGAAAGATGAGCAAAACCTCTGCAAAGAAGATGAAAAACATTACTGAGAACAATTAAAGAAGATATACAATGTTCATGGACTGGAAGAGCCAATAGTGTAAAGATGTTAATTCTCTCCAAATTGATCTATAAATATTCAATATAGTTCCAATAAAAACCCCAGTACATTTTTGTGTGTATGTGTATGGAAAATGCCAAACCGATTCTAAAATTTATATGAAAATGCAAAAGGGAAAGAATACCTAAAGTCCTCTTAAAGAATATTAACAAAGTAGGGGGGCTTATTTTACCAGATGGCAAAGACAGTATGGTATCAGATCAAGGATACACAAATAAATCAGTGGAACAGTATACAAAGTCCCACGCATACATGGACACAATTTATGACAAAGACGACAAGAGCAATTAAAAAAAGATGGCCTTTTTAATAAATGGTGCCAAGTCAACTGGATACCCATGTAGGAAAAAAGTATGAATCTTTACCCTTATTTCACTCCATATATAAAAACCAATTCCAGATGCTTTTAGATCTTAATGTAAAAGATAAAACAATAAAGCTTTTTAGAAAATAACATAGGAGAATATCTTCATGGCCTTAGGATATTAAAAGTTTCTGAAACAGGACACTAGAAGTACTAATCATAAATGAAAAAACTGATAAATTACACTACACTAAAATTAAGAACCTTTGTTTATCTAAAGACACCTTTATGAGAGAGAAAAGGCAAGTCACAGAGTGAAGAAACTGGCAACAAACATAACTGACAAAGGTTTGTATCTGGAGGACATAAACAATTCCTTCAAAATAAAGAAAAAGTCAAGCAAACCAAAAGAAAAACAGACAAATACTTGAAAAAGCACAAAAGAGGATACTTAAATGAACAATAAACATTTGAAAAAGTACTCAAACTCATTACTTGTCAGGGAAATGCAAATTAAATGAGATACAACTACACACCTGCCAGAATGATAAAAATTAAAAGACTGATAATACAAGTGTTAGTAAACATGTAGAGCAATGGGAACTCTCAAACACTGCTGATGGGAACCAAAACTGGTACAACCATTTTGGAAAACTGTTTGAAATTATCTATTAAAATTGAATAACATGCATATCCTATGAATCAGCAATTTTACTCCCAGCTATGTACCCAATAGAAATAATTGCACACGTGAACAAAGAGGCATGTACAAGAACGTCATAACATTAATCATAATGCTCCAAACTGGAAATAACCCAACTATCCAACAACTATAGTATAGGTAAATAAATAATGGTATACTATGAAATACAATATAGTGATAAAAATGGAAGAACTACAGCTAACGGAACCACACTGATGAATCTCACAAGCTTAATATTGATGGAAAAAGCCAATCTCAAAAAATACAAAATGCATGATTCCATTTAGATAAAGTTCAAAGAGGCAAAAACTAAACTAGGGTTTTAGTTGTCAGAATGATGGTTACTTTTGGGAAAAAAGGGGGAGGTAGTAACGGGATGGGACGCAGGCAGAAGCAGGGTTTCTACAGTCCTGATAATGCTCTGCTGTTGATTTGATGAGTGGTTTCACCAGTGTTTGCTTTATGCTAATTCACTGAGTTCTACGCTAAGATTGGTGTACTTTTCCACATGTGTTATATTTCAGCGAAAAAGTTTAAAAAATACAATGGTGGAAAATACAAAATAAAAATATGTATTTTAAACCACATTACTTTCCCACTTGAAATATAAAATCCGAGCCCATGTTTCAGAGCATATCTGACCTGGGCCCTGAGGACAGTCATGGTTTCAAGGTCCTCCTCCTGCTTGGCAATGGTTTGCTTCATCTCATCCATTTGGAGCTGCTTGGAAGCCAGGGCCTTCTCTGCCAGTTCCAGTTTTTCATTTAGTTCCTCCACTACTGCCTTGTCCACCTTTTCTGACTGAAAAAGATAGGTTTATTATAGAATGGTGTTGAAATAATTCAACCTATTATAGTAAAATATTAGATAAAGGTTCATTTAAAAAAATATACTGGCTCCAAACTATTACATTAATTACCAACGCTAACTAACTCAGAAAGTTGTGTTCATTTAACTTATAGCTTACAAATAATCATTTCCTAATTTATTACACTAATGATAAAAAATAATGCATAAATTAAGGGAGATAACAACAAACCCCAATCTCAATGAAGCTGTGACTCATTGATACTGTTCTGTAATTCCACTCATGTCACTCTAATTTTGTAAAGTCAGTGGGAAAGAAGAAACACGTTTCAGCTAAAAATCTTTTAGGCCGTGAAGAAGAAATATATTCTATTTAAAAATAAAAAAAAACCAAAGAGTATATTTATAAGGATATAACTCCAAGACTCCTTCTAATTCAAAGCTGCCATGGTCTTTAAATTATCACACCATGCTGGGTATTATTACTAACGTAAGTTGCAGGCCAATGAGTTCAGGGTCTCAAATTTCCCTGAGAGTAGGCAAACTAGCCTTGCAGAGTCCCATGTACCAGCTGTCTGACTATGCACTATTGAGACAGGAGCCCATGCATGCTGTTAGCTTTCCTACAAACCTTCCACTAGAAACACTAAAAGCTTACTCCCAGACTGGAGGACATTACATATTTCTGTACACAAAGAGCACTGTATGTGTACATATACATATATGTGTGTACACACACACACACACACACATACAGTCAAGCATCGTTTAATGTCCATGATACATTCTGTGAAATAGGACGTTATGTGATTTGGACGTTGGGTGAACAACGGCGCTCGTGAGGCTGTGGGTCCTCCTCTCGGCCCTGAAGCCCCAATTCCTGTACCCCAGCCATGCCCATGGCTGCCTACAGGTAATGGCAACTGTCCCTCTGCTCCAGGAAGCTCCCTGTCTGTGTGCTTTGGGGCAGGTGGGAGGGGTGCCTGTGGGCAGGGGGATGGTGATCATGGGCAGCGGGGGCTGCGGATTAGTCTGCCCATGGCCCTACCCCTGTCATGTCCTTATGAACCAAACCCATATCAAGGAGCCCACCAGCCTGGGGTGATGGGCCTTTGGTCATGCATAAGCATTGGTTCTGACTTTGGAGCCTTAAAGGATGTAGGTGAATGTTGAGCCCAACCCCTTCCTTGTGCGGACGAGAGACCCAGGGACGAATTTTCATGCAACACACTCATGACAGAACAAAGATTAGAATCCCAGACTTATTATTCATTGTTCTGTAGGGAATAAAGATCATAACCTTATGGGACCACAGACATAAATGCAGTTGGACATTGCCCTAATGGATGTTACACGGCGCAGGACTGCACATATACAAAGTATCAGAAGTTGTAAGTACTTAGGCACAAAAAATCAACTATAAACTGAACAACAACCTTTGAAATCAGACTTAGTTAAGGATTAATGTAACTATTTTACATATAAAATGTTTGACAGTTTCCATTCATTACTAGGCTGTGAAAATAATATTTTTCCTATGAATACCTCTTTCATTTTTAGTTCCTCAATTGTTTTCAATGTATTACTGTGTTCTTGAAGAAGCCTGCTGTGTGTCAACTGCAGAGTAGCTAATCTGGCCCTATTAAAAAAGAGATTTAAAAAAAGAGAGAGATTGAAAAAAAAAAAGGAAACTTGAGGGGAAAAAATCATAGAAACATAATTATAGCCCTGCCTCCCAACCTTCTTCTGAATACTCAAGTAGCACAATCTTCTCTCCTACCTTTATCACCCCACCACCTACTAGCATTTTCCTACTCTCAAAGAAAATATCTTTTCCAAAAAATGAAGACATAGAGCAAATAATTTCCATAATCTGCTATAAAACTTATTCTCTTGAAAATTCTCCCAGTACTCCTTCAAATAAATAAAAGAGAAAATTGATAATTCTATTCTCAAATTCTAATTCCAATCTATAAAATCGCTGTTCTGTCTCCTTTTAGCAAGCACCCATTCAATCACAGCATACTCACTTTTCTTCCTCGGTTTTAGTTTGCTCCATTTTGATTTCTGATCGCATGCTTTCTACTTGTAGCTCTAACCTTTTGTTATTATATACAAGTTCTTGCTTTTCATTCAACTCTGATGGGGTTGCAGAATTTTTCCTGTCAAGAGCCTGACACCTAAGAAATATCAAGACTTCATGAGGACAAACATTACTCCTTTACTTCTCAGTGGCTTTTAAACAAATACCAGGATTATGTAGCAAATATAATACATTTTAGGGTTGCAATTTTCAAGGATTTAATGTACAAAATAAAATATTTTATCCTCCTTGCCTTTTTCCTAGACATGGCCATTTTTTGAATCCTTAGGCCTAAACATAGAAAAATACAGATCTAAGATCACATGAGCTATCTACTTTGAATAATTGCTTTAAGTAGTCTTGCTAATATATTTGTATTTAAACACAGACCAAAGTAGTAATTGGCCAAAAGTACTTCTCATATAGTGATCTATGGACACCTTTTATATTTAAAGAAGCTATCGGTTCTGATAAGCACAAAGACTATGACTTCTGACAAAGATTCCATAAGGGAAAAGGAAGTGCCCTATGTTCTCTTAAAGATCAAAAAGAGAATTTCAATACAATTAATAGCAAACACCAAATAAATGGTACCTATGTGCAAAGCATTAATGCCATGTGCTTAAACAGTCTCATTTAATAGAATGTATGAAGTAAGAACTATGACACACAATTTACAAAGATAAAACTGAGGCTCAGAGAGGTTAAATAATAACTTGCCCAAGTTAATACCACAAGTAAGTGGTAGACTCACATTTTAAACCTAGTGTGTTTGGTGTCCAAAGTCCTTAGCTTTAGCTGCTATGCTGTACCAGATTACCATAACACTGTATAGTGGTGGTAAGCATAAATGCAAGAAAATATACACGCATATGTTGTGCTGGAAATGCGTTTGCCAACTAATCCAACAGAACAACATCAATTTAGTTTTCCTAAGTTTTGGGTAACTTCTTACATCATGAGAAACAAGTAAATGCAAAATTCTCAGTTTATATGTTAGCCTTAATAATTGACTGAATTTTTTTTTTTTTCCTAGACAAATCTCATGCAAGGTCTTTTTGCTCTTTTCAACTTTCTTTTATGTTTATTCATGTCAGTGTTATCAGCTTAAGTCACAGGAAAGCTGGCTCACAGATTTGTATAGGTCTTCACATGGGCTGGTATACTTAACACATGCCCCCAAACAGCAGAATCAAAGCCCCTGGCCCCACCTCCCACAGAAATACAAGTATTTTGTTTGTACATTAACCTGTACATTAGCATTTTCTGAATGCATAATTAGGTTTCTATTTTTGTTTCAGTCAGTAGCATAGTCACAGTCACTGTTTTTACATAGTAACATATTGTGCAAAAAATATATAATAGCATACTTTGTAAAAATGTACACTGTTGGGAGGATAAAATTCATCTCTCATTCTTACTTTTCTTGAAGTCTCTTCTTCATTAGCTCTGCTTCACTGAGTTTAGTATGAGCCTCTTGAAGCTCTTTAAACAGGGTTGTCACTTGAAGTTTCAGCATTTCCACTTCACTTCCAACCTATGATACATGAAATTTCAAACATAGATATGTGATTATCATCCTCTGATGATTAATCTCTTTAAATGAACCTTTTTGTAAGAAAACAGTCTGAACCATTAGTATGTAATTAAAAATGAATGGTGAATTGGTTAAACTCTGACAATTAATACCCCAAATATATTAAACGTCTTGGACACAACTGTTTCCTTGTAGAGCATTTACTGGTCAATTTGGATGCATTTGTGATAATGACTTTATCATTTTTTAATGAACCCTGATCATAATTTAGGAGAGTCCCTGGGGGAACCAAATGGTTAAGCACTTGACTACTAGCCAAAAGCCTGGAGGTTTGAACTCACGTAGAGCAGCCTCGGAAGACAGTGTGGTGATCTGCTTCTGAAGGTCACAGCCTTGAAAACTCTATGGAGCAATTCTACTCTGCACACATTGGGTCACCATGAGTCGAAATCGACTCGACAGAACTAACAACAATACATCGTTCAGGAGATCACAGATCACAGTGGTGTAAAACCACAATCTTATTTATCCAGCTCACAACTCACCCTCATATTCCTTCGCCAGTTTATACTTCTACTTTACTCAACTATTTTTGCTGTATAGACTTTTTCTTCCTGGAAGCTCTATAAAAGTTGTAAATGAGTTTTATGTTGCTCTGGAAGTCTCAGTACTTTTCTATATCAGTTGTTGAATTAGTTTTACTTGTTGTTGTTAGGTTCCATCGAGTCGATTCCGACTCACAGCAACCTTATGTAAAACAGAATGAAACACTGCCTGGTCCTTAGCCATCCTCACAATCATTGTTATGTTTGAGGCACTGTGTCGATCCCTCTTGTCGACGGTTTTCCTCTTTTCCACTGACCCTCTACGTTACCAAGCATGATGTCCTTCTCCAGGGACTGGTCCCTCCTGATAACATGTCCAAAATACATGAGACAAAGTCTCACCATCCTCACTTCCAAAGAGCACTCTGGCTATACTTCTTCTAAGACAGATTTGTTTGTTCTTCTGGAGGTCCAAAGTATATTCAGTATTCTTCACCAACACCATAATTCAGTCATCAATTCTTCTTCAGTCTTCCTTACTCACTGTCCACTTTTCACATGCATAGGAGGCAACTGAAAATATCACGGCTTGGGTCAGGAACACCTTAGTCCTCAAAGCGGCATCTTCGCTTTTCAACACTTTAAAGACGTCTTTTGCAGAAGATTTGCCCAACGCAATACATTGTTTGATTTCTTGACTGCCGCTTCCATGGGCATTGATTGTTTGGATTCAAGTAAAATGAAATCCTTCACAACCTCAATCTCTTCTCCATTTATCATGACGTTGCTTATTGGTCCAGTTGTGAGGATTTTTGTTTTCTTTATATTGAGGTACAATCCGTACTGAAGGCTGTAGTCTTTGATCTTCATCAGTAAGTGCTTCAAGTCCTCCTCACTTTCAGCAAGCAACGTTTTCTCACCTGCATATTGCAGGTTGTTAATGAGTCTTCCTCCAATGCTGACGCTGCATTCTTCTTCATATAGTCTAGCTCCTTGGATTATTTGCTCAGCATACAGATTGAATAAGTATGGTGAAAGGATACAACCCTGAGGCACACCTTTCCTGATTTTAAACCACGCAGTATCCCTTTGTTCTGTATGAACGACTGCCTCTTGGTCTATGTCTAGGTTCCACAGGAATACAATTAAATGTTCTGAATTCCCATTCTTTGAAATGTTATCCACAATTTGTCATGATCCACCCAGTTTAATAGGGTATTATTACTCACTGGTGGTCTCTTCATCTCAGCTTTCTAAACGTTCTTCATTCTCTTGAAAGTCTAGGAGACTCAGCCCAGAGCATGGTGTACAGTAGGCATTCAATACATACTTGTTGAATAAATGAATTTGCTAAAGTGAGTATTTAAATGTCTTCACATGGGCTACTGTGTCTACTATAACTTCAGGGCTTCATCAACTTTCCTTAACTTTAAAGCTCTCTGCAGGCTCAAAGGCACATCTCTAAGATACGACAGTACACTATACGTACATACACGTGCGTGCGCGTGCACACACACACAGGCAATTTTATTCAAACCAACAGAGCCAAGATCTTTCAATTCTACCTCAAGTTTCTTGGTCATGTCCCATCCTCATGTGAAATAAAATTAAAAGTTTTACTTTATGGAAACAGAGAGTTCTCTTATCCACGACACTGAAGGTCATCTTACTAAATGTTAGAAACCTATGTGCTGTATAATCATAAATATATACAGAATTTTTAATGCCTATAAGCTATGCCTTGAACTATAACTAACTTTTAGAAGTAGCATGTCTAGTTTTGCATAATTGTATTTAGGTGATCAGGCTCACTGAAACACTTGAAACTTACTCTTTCAGAAAACAATCAAAGATTAATGAACACGTCCTGTTTCCAAGACTCCAGAGGTCTTATAATCATGGCTCACTGATCTTGTGATTGTCTTAGTAAGGTTCCTACCTAAGCTCTGATAATGTTTGAGCACATACTGCTGTCTTATAAGATTTATGTATTCTGATATAATCATCAACCAATCAAAAATTTTTTGTTCAAAATTCCTGATGAAATTATATATAAGTCTCCTGAAAATGTTAATTAATTGGAGCACTGGTTTACTCAGTAATGATGTGCTGCCCAACTTTAAAGTTGTCTATTAAACCTGCATAGTAATCTGTTAATGGTATTCTGAATTGTTTATTTTTGACACTCATATGATCGTATGATAAAGTGACAAAATTCTGTTTTCATTAAGCTGGCCAGTTCACTTAAGTATTCAGGACAGGAAATCAGTCAAGAAGAAATATAGGAGTGATTTCCTAGACTACTGAGAGGAGTACATCTCACTACAATTTATACTGAATCAAATTCCAATTAGGACAAGGAAACATGAGAGTAGTAGAAAATATTCAACATTAATATTATTCCTATACTTCTAAAGCATATACTCATAGCGACCCTATAGGGCAGAGCAGAACTGCCCCACAGTTCCTAGGCTGTAATCTCTACAGGAGCAGATCGCCAGGTCTTTTCTCCTGCAGAGTCACTGGTGGGTTCAAACTGCTGACCTTTTGGTTAGCAGCCAAGTGCTTAACCATTGTACCACCAGGGTTCCTATGAGTCAGAATCGATTTAATGGCACACAACAACAACAACAAACACATCGTAAGACTCGAATCCAGCTTCTATACTACTCTAATGTCCACTGGGTATGTGGTATCGGTCTTAGAATCTTAGTACCCACAGTTTCTGTGCCTTTCTCCTCTTCTTTCTCTGCTCCTGTGCTCTCCTCAGTCTGGGTCTCAATCTCAGAACGGTCATTTGCTTTCTTTTCAAAATTTGAAATTCTGAAAAATCATAGAATGTAGAAAAGTTACTTTCTCTTTGTTTTTCAAGAGGAATAACAATTACAGAAGCACTAAAAAGAACACTGTTCAAATTGTGGATACAGGATCAGAGGTTTTCAAAATCTTTTTACATTCATTATGGTAGCTTAGGTTTTATTTTTCATCATAAAACTGACTAGAATCGATTTAAGAGATGAATTCCTACCATGTCACTGTGTATGTACACATGTGCACGTGTGGGTGTTATACGAGTGTGTGTCTCTCCTTTATAAGGATTCAGCAAAGAAGGAAAGATTTTCCTTTTGGACCCATCTAAGTTGACAAGCCCCTGAACAAACAAACAAATGTAGCAATACTCTTCTATCCCTAATCGTAACCACAGGAAAGCCATCCCACTAGAAAAGATGGAAAAAGATGGTAGCTAAAACATATGCATGTAATTTTTCTCCTACCCAAAACCTCACTAAAATGACTTTTTAAAAGGAATATACTACAGGAGCAAGGAGAAAGGGAGAGGAAATAAGACCAAGAAAATCTTGGAAGCTGGAAAGCATAGGCACAAGTGGGAACTAACTGATTTAGCAGGCCAGAAGGTAGGACCCTAAGCCAACAGTAGGGAGAGCCAGGAAGTAACCCAATTCACACTATGGAGCCTCCACAAGGCTCAGGAATTGGTGGCACTGGGTACCTCTGGAATGGGTAATAAAGCTGGGGATAAAAACAAGAGGATTAGTTAAAAGCCTGCTTAAGAAGACTAGAAGACTGAAGATCGTAAAACAGAGTCTCTAGACTCATAGACATTAGGCAGAGTTTAGCGCTTGGGCTCCCTACTGAAAAGAGGGGAATGTACCTACTAAATATTGAGACCCTCGGCCTTCTTATTAAAAAAAAAACAAACAAACCAAACCAGTTGCCGTCGAGCAACCCTATAGGACAGAGTACAACTGCCCCGTATGGTTTCCAAGGAGCAGCTGGTGGATTTGAACCACTGACCTTTTGGTTAGCAGCCAAGCTCTTAGCCACTGAGTCATCAGGGCTCCTCTTATCCTATAGGTATCTAGAAAAATACCTTCCAGGCAGGAGACTGGAAGAGTCTTCTCTGAAGAATTTGACCAGCACAAGGGAAAAGATTTAAAGTTACTGACAGAAGGCTTCCCTAGGGAAATCTGCCAACCAGATCTCTCTACACATGCACACAGAGCTTCAATCAGCTTCTAAATTCCCCCTCTTAAATCTGAACTAAGAGCTAAGATTGCTAGACATTTGAGGAAAACCTCGAAAATGAAAGAATGAGAGTAAAAACGAAAAAAGCGACTTGTTGAAAATAGAATATGCTGGGGTTGGGGTTGGGGGAAACTTACGGGGAGAAACAAAACAAAACTGTTATTAATATCCTTAGAGATGTAAGGGAACATACTGCATCTACTAAAAAAAAAAGCACACTATAAAAAAGGAACAAAGGACAAAAAAAATAATTTAAGATGAAAGTTGATCAAATCTACCAGAAAGGAGCAATAAAAGACAGAGATGGAAAGAAGGAACAAAGAGTAAAGAAAATTAGAGGACTAGTCCAGGAGACCCAATTCAAAATAACAGCAGTTCTAGAAAGAGAGAACAGAGAAAACTGAGGATAAGAAATCATTGCTAAATTAATTTGAGATCATTTCTCGAGAACTAAAGGACACGCATTTACAAAATGAAAGGGCCAAAGAGTGTCCAGAACAAATGGATGAAAAACAGTCTCACACTAAGGCATATGAGACAATTTCAGAACACTTGGGACAAAGCAAAGAACCTTCAGAGAGGAAGAACAAGAAAAGAAGTTTCATCCAAAAAAGATTAAGAAATCAGAAATGGCAATGGATTTTTCAACAGTAAACCAAGAAGCTAGAGCACAATGAAGCAATGTCTTCAAAATTTTGAGGGAAAATTATATCCGATCTAGAATTCTATATCTAGTCAAACTATCCATTAGCCATAAAGGTAGAAAAAGAGATTTTCAGATATGTAAGATCTCAAGAAATTCTTTTTTGGAAGTCACTGGAGATGTGCTTTATTTAAATAATAGTAAAAGGAGTATTTTGGTTTCAGTAAACAGGTGATCCAACACAGGAGAGACGAAGGTACTCCCCCAGGATGACCACAAAGGGAGATACCAAGATGACTGCAATAAAGCAGACCTAAGCAGCAACAGGAAACCCTGGTAGCATAGTGGTTAAGAGCTATGGCTGCTAACCAAAAAGTTGGCAGTTTGAATCCACCAGCCACTCCTTGGAAACCCTATGGGGCAGTTCTACTCTGTCCTATAGGGTCCCTAAAGTCGGAACTGACTCAACGGCAATG